GGGATTCACTCAGGAAAGATGTAAAGGAGTATGTGCAGGCATGTTCTGTGTGTGCAGTTTCTAAGGTGACTCATGCACTTCCTTGTGGCCTGTTGCAGCCTCTTCCTGTTCCTGAGATTCCATGGTCCCACTTATCCATGGACTTTATTGTTGAGCTTCCTAGCTCTGCTGGGTTCACTACTATTCTCATGGTTGTAGACCGATTTTCTAAGATGGCTCACTTCATTCCTCTCAAGAAGTTGCCATCTTCGCAAGATTTGGTCCTAATTTTCATACGTGAAATTGTCCGTTTGCATGGCATCCCCCACAATATTGTGTCTGATAGGGGCTCTCAGTTTGTGTCCAGGTTCTGGAGGGCATTCAGTAAACAATTGGGGATTGATCTCTCCTTCTCCTCCTCCTACCATCCACAGACCAATGGTACAGCTGAGAGGGCTAACCAGTCATTAGAAGTTTATTTGCGTTGTTTTATTAATAGCACACAAGACAATTGGTCCGAACTACTCCCGTGGGCCGAGTTCGCTAGAAACAATGCTGTTCATGACTCCTCTGGGCACAGTCCATTTTTTGTCAATAATGGTAGGCATCCTACAGTTCTCCCTGGGGTATTTTCTGATACTGCCATTCCTGCTCTGGATGAGCATCTGGCCTCCATTCGGGACACCTGGGTTAAGGTTCAAACTGCTCTAGGGGCTGCAGCTGAACGCTTCAAACATTTTGCTGATAAGTGTAGGAGTGCCAACCCGGTGTACCAAGTGGGGGACCGGGTTTGGTTGTCATCTCGCAACATCAAGCTTAAGGTCCCTAGCATGAAGTTTGCCCCCAGATTCCTTGGTCCCTATAGAGTGCTTCGTAGGATCAATCCAGTGTCTTACTCTCTGGCTCTTCCTGCATCTTTAGGGATTCCCAACACTTTTCATGTGTCCTTACTCAAACCTCTTGTCTGCAATAGATATACTGTTCCTTGTGTTCCTCCCCCTCCGGTGGTGGTGGGTGGTCAGGAAGAGTATGAGGTATCTTCTATCGTGGATTCTAGGTTTTCTTGGGGCACTTTACAGTACTTGGTTGTTTGGAAAGGTTACGGTCCTGCTGATCGTTCTTGGGTTTCGGCTCCTGACCTGCATGCGGGCCGTAAGATCCGCGCTTTTCATGCTAAATTTCCTCTCAAGCCTGGTCCTGTCCGCCCGGTGGGCGTTCTTCAGGTGGGGGGTAATATCACGTATTCATCCGCTTATAGAAATGTGGTTAATGAAATTTACTGTCCACACAGGAAAAGTTGTGCCGAGCAGCAGCCTAATCCACAGAAGGTTTAATGCTGAGCAGTAATTGTGCAAATGAAACCTGGTGTCATGTATTCATCCGCTTATAGAAATGTGGTTAATAACATGTACTGTCCACACAGGAAAAGTTGTGCCGAGCAGCAACCTAATCCACAGAAGGGTTAATGCTGAGCAGCAATTATGCAAATGAAATCTGGTAACTGACTTTGGGGTCAAAGGCCGGTTACAGCCTATCAGAAAGAAAGGAGGGGTATTTAGGCCCAGTTCTCAGCCTGCTCAGTGCCCTGTCGTGGTTTCCCTTGTGGTTGTCCGAGAGCGCGTTCCTGTTTATAGTTTTCTACCTGGTTTTTGACTTTGGCTTTGTTTATTGACTTCACTATATTCTGGTATCCTGACTCCTGGCTTTCCTCATCGCTGTGTCCCTTACTGTGTTCCCTGACCTCGGCTAGTATTTTTGACTATTCTTTGTATGTTAAATCCGGCCATTCTAAGGACCGGTAATACGTTACTTATTTGTCATCCGTGCTGTACAGTTCTACGTGCTGGATCAAACAGTAATCCTGACAGCTCCAAGACTTTAGTAATGATGTACTCAGTGACTATATTTATTCATTTGTCCTAGTATACCTGGATGACATCCTTATTTATTCCCTTGACTTCCAGACTCACCACAAACATGTCAAACAAGTGTTGCAAACTTTACTTAAAAATAAACTTTATTGCAAACTTGAAAAACGCATCTTTGACCAGACTGAAGTACAGTTTTTGGGGTATAACATTTCTGCCTCTGGTTTTCAAATGGATCCTCATAAACTAGAGGCTGTTCTACAATGGCCATTACCCAGTGGACGAAAAGCCATCCAAATGTTTATTGGGTTTGCTAATTATTACAGGAGATTTATGAAAGGGTTCTCTTCTGTGATAGTAGTTGTATGGAATGGTCTAAGAAAGCTAGAGAAGCTTTTGAACTTCTTAAAAATTTTTTGCTTCAGCTGACACTCTGGTACATCCTGATACGAGCAAAACCTTCATACTGGAGGTTGATGCCTCCGAAACTGCATCCGTTTGGGTACTTCTCGGCAAAGTTGTCTCCAGCTGAGCACAATTATGACATTGGTAACAGGGAATTTTGGGCCATTATATTAGCACTTAAAGAGTGGCAACATCTTTTAGAGGGTTCCAAAGACCCTCTTTTAATCATTACGGACCACAACAATGTAGCTTTTATTGGGGATGCTAAAAGATTGTCTTCTAGACAGGCTAGATGGTCTTTGTTGTTATCTCACTTTAACTTTCTTATAACTTACAGACCTGGTCCCAAAAACGTGAAAGCGGATGCCTTATCTAGACAGTTTGACACTGAATCAGTGCAAGAACTAGAGACATCCCCTATTGTTCCTCCTGAGTGTATCATTGCTTCTACTGTTCTTTCCTTGTCATCCCCTCTGCTTGGTGCTATCATGGAGGCTCATTCTCAGGCACCATGCAATAAACCACTGGATAAATTATTTATTCCGTTGGCGGAAAGAGAGAATGTCATGAGGGTGTTCCACAATAACTTGACTGCAGTGTACCCAGGCATTAATAAATCCATATCCGAAATCCTGAGATCATTTTGGTGGGATTCTCTCATGAATTGTTAAGTAATATGTGCAGGACTGTTCAGTTTGTGCAGTTTCTAAAGTTCCTCTTAAGCTTCCATGCAGCTTGTTGCATCCACTTCCTGTACCTAGTGTCCCATGGTCCCACTTGTCCATGGACTTCATTGTAGAACTTCCTAGTTCTAGTGGCTATACCACCATCCTTATGGTGGTTGATCGCTTTTCCAAAATGGCTCATTTTGTTCCGCTCAAAAAATTGCCATCCTCACAAGACCTGGTTCTTATTTTTATACAAGAAATTGTCCGACTGCATGGCATTCCTCACAATATTGTATCAGACAGAGGTTCTCAGTTTGTGTCTCGGTTTTGGAGGGCTTTTAATAAACAGTTGGGCATTGAATTGTCATTTTCGTGCTCTTACCATCCCCAAACCAATGGTACGGCTGAGAGGGATAACCAGTCATGGAAATTGTATTTGCGTTGTTTTGTTAATAGCACACAGGATAATTGGTCCGAACTACTACCATTGGCCGAGTTTGCTAGGAACAATGCTACCCATTACTCTTCCGGACATAGCCCATTCCTTGTTAATAACAGTCATCATCCCACTGTTCTGCCTGTTGTTTTTTCTGACACTGCTATCCCTGCTTTGGATGATCATCTTACTTCTATTCGTGAGACTTGGACCAAGGTTCACTCCGCTCTCCAAACTGCAGCTGATCGTTTTAAACTTCATGCTGATAAACGGCGGGGTGCCAACCCTGTTTACCAAGTGGGGGAGAGGGTGTGGTTATCATCACGCAACATCAAACTAAAGGTTCCTAGCATGAAGTTTGCTCCCAGATTTCTTGGTCCAGTTTGTATCCTTTGTAGAATTAATCCTGTTTCATATTCGCTAGCTATGCCTGCCTCCTTACGTATTCCTAATACAATTCATGTTTCTTTGCTTATACCACTTATTTGCAATAGGTATACTGTCTCAAGTGTTCCACCTCCCCCATTGGTTGTTTCTGGACAAGAGGAGTATGACGTCTCTTTACAGTATTTGGTTGATTAGAGGGGGAAGGGCCCGGCCGAACGTTCTTGGGTTCCGGCCTCCGATGTTCATGCTGGTTGCAAGATTCATTATTTCCACGCCAAGTTCCCCTCAAGCCTAGTCCTACACGCCCGGTGGGCAGTCTTCAGGTGGGGGGTAATGTCACATGTTCATTCTCACCTTGTGGTGTCTGTAATGACAAATGCCTTTCTGGCATTAATGGAGGTGCTACTCAGCAGCCCTGTGCCGGTGTATATGACTCCTGCGGCATGTTGAAGGACGCCGGCTGCTGCGGATCCATTCCCATTTGTAACTCCACGTCCACCCACGGTATTGACGACGACGTTGGCGTGCATGTGACGTCACGCAATGGACGTGCACGCACGTTCTGGGGTCAAAGGCTGTGTACGGCCAATCGAATCTGAAGGAGGCTTATTTAAACTCCTTTTTCCTTTTCCTCATTGCCCTTTCATGGTCTCCCTTAGTAGGTTATCTGAGAGTGTGTTCCTGAGTGTTTATTTCTGGTTATTGACTTTGGCTTCGTTTGACTTCCCTGTATTCTGGTATCCTTGTTTTTTGGCTTTTCCTCATCGTTGTGTCTCATTCTGTGTCCCTGACGTCGGCAAGTATTCTGACTATTCTCTGGTACGTTAAGTCCGGCCATTCTAAAGCCCGGTAAGACGTTACCTCTAGTCCTAGGTGTGATACAGTTTTGCATGCTGGATCAACTAGTATTCTGACACTGTGGGGCTGGAGATGTATGCCACGGTCCTTCTGCGGCAGTGGGCAACCTGATTTTCTGTAGGGTGCTGGGTATATCCAAAGCCTCCAGTACTTCCAATGTCCCAGATTCGTGGGGGATCAGAAGACTTCTTGGAGCACCCCATCTATAAGGCACCTTGTGTTTAGTACCAGAGTTAAGGTTCTCAGGGTCCTTCTCCAGTCCAGGGTAACTCTGGATAGATCTGGGAAGAATGCCAGCTGATGTTCTTCAAAGAGGTAGCGTGACTTATTGCGAATGGAGGTCATAAACGCCTGCTTGTCAGGGCCGTTTTCGAAGCGGATTGTGATGTCCCTGTGCACTCATGTAGCGCTTGCCAGAGGAACTGAGAACCTGTAACATCCATCCAAAGTAATTAATTTGGCTTGTTTGGCAGAGAATAGTTGGGTTAGGAGCCTCCGGATCAGGTGAGGTATTTCAGCTGCGGTGATATCATCGGGAAGGCCTCGCACCTTTACGTTCTTCCACCGCCTCCGGTACTCCATTGCCGCCATGCGGTACTGTGTCTGCACCTGTTCGCACGTAACATGGAGAGTTCCTGTTCTAGGGCAGTAATCCGTGTCTTGTGGCATGCTGTGGTGACCTCCTTTTCGTGTAGTTGGGCTGTTACTCCGCTGATCTCTTCTTTAAATGCAGAGATGTCAGCAGCGGCATAACTCGATTGTGAGGGCATTCAGGGTACTGTCCATCACTGGTGTCCCAGATTTTCGATCAGACTGTATAGCAGCTTGTTTGCCACTAGTCTGTACCTCCAGACTTATCTGCCCAATATTTTTTAGACTTACGCCCCATGCTAGCTGGAGATAGCAGCTCTCTCTTGGGCAGGTTTTGTGGGTGCAAACTGGTGAAATAGCCGTTTTAGCTTGTGGCTTAGCCGGAGCTCCCACAGGATGCGTCTGATCAGTCAGGCAGCTGGCTCAGCCCCCCTCTATTTCATTTTTGTTCATTTTCCATTTTCTATTTAATTTTCATCTTTATTTGTATCTTTATTTCTATATTTACTTTTATTTCTATTTTTATTCTTATTTTTATTCTTTTAATAACTTTTATTTCTATTTTTTTTCAATCTTTATTTTTGCAGTGCATATAAAGACAAAAACAGATAAGCTACAATGTCAAGGTTGCAATAGCCAACACAGCAGATAACACATTAGGAACGGTACATGACATTTTGATAAACTGCATGATTTTATAAAATAAAATATGTAAGCAAATGCGAGTCAAGTTAAAAACCTAAGAATAGAATAAGGAAGGTGGAAAACAAGGTAACTGAATCTGCTAGGAGTAATACAAGAGAATAATACCACCAAGTAGCTTATTAACTGTGCTCAATGAACTTACCAGGTAAAGTTAAGCAAGAATGGATGAAGGAGCTCAGACAAGGAGAATAGAGTGCAATGGCAATCAGCAGCTACCGTATATACTCGTGTATAAGTTGATCTCATGTATAAGTCGAGTGCAGTTTTGTGACCAACAATTGTGAAATATGCTATGCCTCGTGGATAAGTCGAGGGTAAAACTTGGGGCTATGAAATTCTGTGATTTTTATAATTATATACACACACACGCTTTTACCATTTTGAAAAAACCTCATAGGTGAAACGCGTAAATGGTTTTAAAAAGTGTATTTTAAATCAATAAAAGTTATTTTTGGTTAGCCTTTTATACGAGGACCAATCTTATACTTATTTTTATTGTATTTTATACATTTCAACTACTCCTGGCACTTTCATATATTGTTTTTATACTATATCTTTTTATTTTTATTTTTAATTTTTATTTTTAATATTTATTTCTTAAAACACCATAACCCTGAAGTGTATCCTGTCCAAAGAAATCCTCAGGTGGGGATAATTCCACCAGCGCTGTGGTAATAGAGCAGTATTTGTCTGCTCTATTCTTGTAAGTATAACTTATTTTCTTATAATATTTTTACTGTTCATACTGAGAGCACTATCTACTGTTTTATATATTTCGTGGATACCCATTATTCCAACTGGAGAGGCGGACCTATCTCCCCAAGCACCATAGAACTACGCACATCTGAGCAGGTTCCAGTCTACATCAAGGAAATCCAAAGTTGTGACAGACGGACCCATCACTAAAGTGTATCCGATAGTGGGGATTAAACCACTAAGTGCCTCTTCTCCTAGAGCTGGGTCAAGCTCCATCAAATGTGAGTGGATTACTTTTCTCTTGATTTATACATCACATCTAGACGTACTATATTTCACCATTGGAAGCTCTCTATCTGTTTTTATTTCCACATATATGGACTATCTGCCACCACACGGACGGATCAACACCTGAGGAATATTACCCTACCATCACATATCAGTGAGACTGTCTTTATCCATTTTTAGACGAACTTTGTCTATTGACTATATTCTATTTTTTTAATTATTTTTTTTATTATTTTTTAGCGCAGCCCTTTCCCCCCTTTTTTTGTAATATACACACACACACTCATACAAACACACACACTGCATTATATACACACACTTATACAAACACACACTCTGCATTATACACACACACTCATACACACACTCTGCATTATACACACACACACTCATACACACACTCTGCATTATACACACACACACTCATACACACACTCTGCATACACACACTCATTACACACACACACTCATCATACACACATTATACACACACACACTCATACACACACTCTGCATTATACACACACACTCTGCATTATACACACACACACTCATACACACACTCTGCATTACACGCACACACACACTCATACACACACACACTCATACACACACTCTGCATTATACACACACACTCATACACACACTCTGCATTATACACACACACACTCATACAAACAATCTGCATTATACACACACACTCATACAAACACACTCTGCATTATATACGGACACACTCATACAAACACACACTCTGCATTATATAATGCAGAGTGTGTGTGTGTGTTTGTGTGAATGCAGAGTGTGTGTGTGTATATATAATGCAGAGTGTCTTTGTATGAGTGTGTGTATAATGCAGAGTGTGTGTTTGTATGAGTGTGTATATAATGCTGTGTGTGTGTGTGTATACAATGCAGTGGGTGTGTTTGTATGAGTGTGTGTTTGTGTGTGAACTGCGTGGGAGAGGGCATTTTTATTATTTTAAATTTTAATAATTTTTTTTTTTATTTTAGTATTATTTTTTTACTTTATTATTTACTTTTTAATTTTAATATTTAAATTTTTTTATTGTAATATTATTATTTTTTTATTATTTAATTTGTATTTTCATCCCCCCTCCCTGTTTGTTAGCTGGCCAGGGAGGGGGGGGCTCTCATTCCCAGGTGGTCCAGTGGATGGGCTGTGTAGGGGGGGGGCTGGCAGAGAGCTGTTAATTACCTTTCCTGCAGCTCCTGTCAGCTCCCTTCTCCTCTGGTCTGGTCAGCTCCACTGTAAGTCTCGCGAGAGCCGTGGGGTCAGAGCGTTGCCATGGCAGTCACACCGCGAGACTTACAGTGGAGGAGAAGGGAGCTGATAGGAGCTGCAGGAAGGTAAGTAACAGCTATCTGCCAGCCCCCAACAGGACCGCCGGGCTTGTAATGAGCCCGGCGGTCCTGGTCTGTATTATGGCAATGTAAGTTGCCATAATACAGACACTGACTCAAGTATAAGTCGAGTGGGGGTTTTTCAGCTCAAATAATGTGCTGAAAAACTAGACTTATACTTGAGTATATATGGTATATAATAGTACTGGCATCAGCAAGAAAATCAGAGGCTATAGACTAAATATTCTTTCTTAATCAGTGTCCCCCTGAGTGTATGCCACTCAGTCTATGCCCATAGCACACTGGCCTCCTCTGCACCCACACTCCCATCCCCAAGCATGATCTGGGGGTAGCACGCCTTGTCCGAGATGCCCTCTACGCCATGTGCAAGGGGTGATAACTGAAGACTTTCTCCTATTCAGAGCCTCTCCATGTCGTGGACTTCATTCGGGGATACCCCCTGCTTCAGTCCCCAGCCCGGGAAGGTGTTGTGGGATCGAGGAGCAGGACCAGGGGAACCGATCAGGTTCACAAGGTGCCGGGTCCAGAGCAGGTAAGCAGAGCTGTAGTGCCCGCTCCTCCAGCCACTTCCAGAAGAGCGCACATAGCTCCTCGTAAGCCCTCTCAAAGTCCACCTGAGATGTGTTTCCGGGACATGTCTTTGCAGAAGGCCATAGGCCATCGCCATTTTGGGTACCTTCATACACACCAATGCAGCTCTGTTTGCTAACGTAGGGAAGCAGGCCCAGTGGTGATGTGTGCTGGTGGGGACCAGGATAACCCCCAATGGTCGAGGGGGAGGGACGCTGGATCAGGTGAGCGCAGTCTCGGACCACTGGCGGATCAAGGGGGGGGCAACGGGGCAATTGCCCCCCCCGAGAAATCCGCCGGTCTCCCGCTCCAAATCTTGCGAGAGTGAACTCTAGCCCGGGAGCTGTGGGCTAGAGTTCACTCTCCACACTGGGACCACCAATGAATCGCCCACCGGACCACCAAGGACTAAGAAATGTCCCCCCTCCTCCCAGTAAAGGTAAGAAGGGAGGGGGGACATAGAATATTTATTTATTTTAATTAAATATTTAAAAATATATATTATAAAAAAAGCCCCCCTACCCTTAACACACACACACACATAGCCCCCATACTGCCCCCATGCACACATACTGCCCCCCATGCACACATACTGCCTCCCATACACACACACTGCCCCCCATGCACTGCCCCCATGCACACATACTGCCCCCATGCACACATACTGCCCCCCCACACATACTGCCCCCCCATGCACACATACTGCCCCCATACACACATACACACACATACTGCCCCCCATAAACACACATTGCCCCCATACTGCCCCCTCACACACACATGCCCCATGCACACACTGCCCCCATGCACACTGTTACACACACATACTGTCCCCACATACACATACTGCCCCATACACTACTGCCCTCACACACACTACAACCACACACACACACTGCACCCCTTACACATTGCACCACTCACACACACCACTGCTCCTATGCCCTACTACAGCCCCATTTCCCAGCAGACCTCAGGTAAGTTGTCAAACTGTTCTTAAACGGTTTGACTACTTACTTTGGGAGGGGGTCCCGGCACTATTGACACCATAACCACTACACTGAGCTGTAGTGGTTATTGTGTCTGGATTATTTATTTAAATAATCTACAAGTGCCCCTCCCGAGATCAGGCTCTGGATCCGCCACTGTCTCGGACAGAGGATCGGCCGCCTCCTCCGTGCAGAGCTCATCAGTAGGCCTCCGAGGCAGGTCTGCTCAGTACTGAGCTATAATGTTGGCCCCAAGGGGATATCTTGATAGACTGCAGCTTCCCCGTCGTGTGGAGTCGGGTTACAGGCTTAGAATGTCCAAAATTAAAGGGTACAAATTAAAGGGTAAATAGCTCAATTTTGTCTGCCTCAGTCAGTGATCAGG